TAATTCATAATTATCCGCAAATGATATTTGTCACAAATAATATTTTTAACTACTATATTCTCAATTTCAGGATATTTAGGCTATGAATTTTCATTTAATGAAAGGCAATATTGAAAGCCTTGTTCATAGACTGATATACCCATGCAAACCTTAGCTAGTGAATACTATCTAGTTTCGCAGAATGTATCCAAAAAATGTCCTATTTTTTGCTTTTTTTGCTAGTTTTGTAACTCCTGATGCCAAATATATAATGTGTTAAAGAAATTGACAAGTTTCTGATTCTTTTTACAAATTGTTGCAACATCAGAAAAACCACAAATATCTTTGACAATCAAATTGAAGACATATAAGTAACAACGAATAGAGATTATATTAGAGTGTTCTTCCTAGAATTAATAATTTAACATAAGTATTTATATTACTATACAAATAAGAAAAATGCAAAATGATATTACAAGTATGCAATAAGCCAATTTTATGCTTATATAATACAGTCATACTTGAGTGAAGATTTTATTTAGTGAAAATAATCTATATATGACTGTATATTAATTTTTATGTTATATACTTACATTAAGTAATCATCGCATTTTGCCCATATTCAAGAGGTTATCAGTAACGCAGGTGATAATAGATAGCATTTTAATGTCATTTGCAATTAAAACTTCTTTTAATTTATCTTTAAGAATTCATCAGTATAGCGATATGCAGACAAATCAATTACATCTATTACCGTTTCTTGGTTCTCTTTAAGGGCTATAAACCTATATACTGAATTCCCAGAATTGTTTGTCCATCTGTTAAGAGAAATCATGATATCAGTTAGAGTTAGAAGTGTATTTAACTTTTTCTGAAGATGATCTGAAAACATCTCAATTAATAAATGTTCTTTGACTATATTCTGAGTAGGTAGATTGTATGAAAGATTTAAGTTATGAAGAAAATCTTGAAAATATGAATTATCAACAAAATTAAAGGAAATATTTCCATAGATAATGGATTTTAAAAGCTTTTTATAAAGCTTTTCAGACTCTTCATGATGCAAAGGACGAGTACATCAACTAAGAATTGTATTTTGATGAGGTGCAGGAGGTTGCTACACATTATCACTATTGTCATAGGTAGTTGACTCAGTAAATGAATTACCTTCCTTATCTTCCTCATCATTGACATTATCATTGGTGCATTTGCAGGGTATAAGGCTTTCTTCTTTAATTTTTTGAATATATTTAGTTTTTATAATAGGAGGCCAATTATTACACTGAAGAACATAATTATAGAGTTGGTAAGGTTTGCCGTTTAGTTCAATCAAACAATAACAGCATTTTGCGATATATCTATTTTCATTTTTTTTGTATTAGAATGATAAAAACCTGTTCAATGTTTACCTTGAGTTGAAAGTGGAAGAGCAAAACCAGAAGGAATTTGGACAACGGTATTAACAAATGCTTTCATATCTTTGAAGATTTTATTTTAGATAAGTATTAAGATTATTATTTAATATAAATTTATGTTTTGTTTTTAAAAATCGAACTTTAGAAGCTCTAATGATTTACTCAAGGTAAAAAAGTACAATTTAAATACATTTTACATTTATCTAACTCTTACATCTTTGTTATAACATCTAATTCTTTTTTTTTTACAACCAGATGATTCATTATGCTATAAATTGCAGCTCTTCCAAAAATGATCTTAATCGTATAATTATGTTTTTTGCATTAATTCTATTTGCTTAGAATGCATAATCTAAATAAGGTGTAAAGAATTTTTAGATTATACGACTAATTTTAGGAGAGCTTAGATCGTACGTACGTACATATTAACAATCATTATTTTACTAACAGGGAAATATTCTGTTAGCTTAGAATGCATAATACAAATAAAGTATAGAGAATTCTTAAATTCTATAACTAATTTTAGGAGGGCTTGAATTTTACATATTAACAATAATTCTTTTACTAATAGGGAAATAATAATTACAAATAAACAACTCTGCATAATTTTTGCATAAATTTACGTTCATTTTAACTATTTTATACGAGTAATTTATAATGATCATTAAATTCAACCTTTAGCAGACATTGGCAAAGTAATGAATAATACTATGCATGCAATATATCGCCAATTTTTTGATTAATAAACAATTTAATGAATTTTTAATTGAAAAAAATTAAGTCCGTTAAGCAGAACTGACCTTTACATGGAGTTATCATTTACACTGCCCAGAAATTATATACAAATTTACTTTGGTGCAAACATATAATCGCTTAAAAAAAATCACTATACATTTTATGCAAAATAGACAAGAAATTTAAAACAAAGGAATTGAATTATATAGCGATAATCTTCACATGTGATCTGCCAAAAAATTCTATTTATTTTGACAAGTGTACTTGTAAACTGTTCAATAGAACAAAAATAACTAAGGCTGTACAAATAAATTAATTGTTTCATAATATACTAAGGTTAAAAGACACTCAGAACTAACTATTATTGTATAAATATAAAAATGGTTATATAAAATTTAAATATTCATTTTAATATAGAACTATGCATATAGGGCTTCACTTTCAATAAGGTTTAAAAAAAATTAGAATTGGTGTTTATACAAAGAGCTTTCGTACTTTTTCACCTACAGAATCAGGTCACTAAATCTAATGTCTAAAGAAGTTAAAGTAGTATCTATACAAAGAGCCCTACAAGTACTTTTTCGCTCTTTGAATCAAGTAGATTAAATTCAAATTTGACGGAGTTAAAGCATTGATTTTATTAAGAGCTTTTGCCAATGCTTTTCTACTTTCAGAACAGAGATAATTATGGCTAAAATCCAAAAGAAATTAGTAGTATTCATGCAGAACCTTCACAAATCTTGAAACTAAGTTCATTATATCTAATATTAAAACAATATTTATACAAAGAGATGCTTTTCAACCTTCTAATCCGAGATGATGGATTTTAATATTTTCTGCTTTCAGAACCAATTTTATTACTTTTAAGATCTAAAGAAGTTGGGAAGAATTTATACTAAGGATTTCAGCTATTACTTTTCCATCCTCATTACCAAGATCATTATGTCAACAACATAAATAGGTAATAGAATTTTTATAAATATTGTCTATAAAGTTATTTGATTATAAATAATTTGACAAGTGCTAAATATTTAAATTTTCTACTTGTTCGTAGAAACCATGAAATTAAAGAACATTTAATAGTATTTATATAGTTCTAATAGCCTTCTTAAGCCAATAATTGATTCCAACTTCTGAAAAAAAGCTAATATAACTTATACAACTTGCGAATTCAAATAACGATGTTAGAATTTTTGGAGGGTTTATATTAAAAGAGATTAATAAAATTTGTTCTTTAGCATTTAATATAAAAGGTAACTTTTATCATGTAAAGTTGGTCTGATCTATAACACTAGTATAATAATTTTATACCATTGCTAGTTCATGAGAAGAAATAAGAATAAGCTTTCAAACAAGTCTAGAATAGAGATATTATTCTGCTTATCTGAACTCTGTTTACTCTTGTTTGAAACCCAAACTAAGTTTTTTAATCACGTGAATTTAATGCTCAAATTGAGTTCAAAACCGATCTTATGAGTAGTATTGCTTGCTGCAAATATGAAGTGTGACTTTTTTATAGCATAACTAGGGTTGCAACCTATTGTCGCAATAGAATATGACATTAGTAATATAGTATTTATGATTTGTAATAATTACAGCATAAATAAGCTGTAAAAATTAAGTTGCATCTTTGCAGCAAGCAATACTACTTATGAGCAAAAAGCTTTGTTATCTGCAATTTTTAAGCAGGGGAAGCAATTATTTCACTGACACTCATTTTACTGACTATGTCATTTCACTGACATTTTAGTCTGATTTAGGGTTAGGGTTTAGCCAGTTTTATATTTTTAGTGAATTTATTGTCAGTGAAATAACATAAACCCTTAAGCAGAGTCTGAAACCCAGTTTACATATGTATAGTGTTTGAATAATTTAAGCAGGATAACATCCTTAGTCTAGAAGTTACTGAATATATCTAAAAGGCATTCATTCGGTAATGTTAAAATATTGTTAGTATATGTGTGATATAAAAAAAAATTTGTTGATTAATATAATCAAATATATATTTTAGTCTATAGAGTGTCAATTGTATGTTTGACTTATTAATAACTAGAAAAATGATGTTGTTTTGTGGGCTGAAGCTCTAAATATTAGGTCTTATACTTTAGAATTAAATTGGGAATAAAATTTAAGTCTTATTGCTATTACTGTACTTGTAAAAAATAATATTTAAAATTTTATAAATTCGTTACAGAGTAACTAACTGACAACACATTTTTTTTTATTAAAGATCAGTTTATATGCTATCAAGAATCGGGTATCTAAACATAGGCTCAATTATGGTTATTAAACCTAAAATTTGAGTTTGGATGAAGCAGGAGCTAGAAAATTTCAAAAATTCAGTAGAGTAGCACTTGAAAGGCTTTCATCTCGCTTTTCTTAGCTTCAGCTAATAAATAGACTCTTGTTCTATTTTATACTTATTTTACTTTCTAATAAAATTTCTTATTCTGTAAGCCAAATTGCCAGCACATATATACCTAACTATCTTCACCCCAAAATTGTTTGCGAAGTTCTGCATTTATGTCAGCAATAAAAATATGAAGATTATTAATATTTATATACACTGGGTATTTAGAGGTAGTATGTACAATATCGAAAAGTAAGCAAAGAAATAAAAGAATAAAGAGGCAGTATACTAAAAAGAATAACATTTTTTATACCCTTAGATTAATATATAATTTGTTGAGAAAATGTAGATTGTAGTTAAATTTGTTTGCAAAACAGAGTAAGGATAGTAGTGTCACGATTTAGTTAAGTAAATCGTGACTATAAGGTGATTATTGGAATAGAATATGCCTCTAATATGATTAGTATCGAAGCTATAAGAATATTGTGAGGCTATGTAAATGGCTAAGAAGGGTCCAAGTAGTTATCCATTCGTCATATTTATTTATTTATTATTTGTATATGGCTTAGAAGATTAGAGGTAAAATAAAGTCTAGGAGAAAGAATTAGATCATGTCAAAGCTTAGACCAATTGCTTGGAAATGATAAGAGGATAGGTTAAAAGATATCATGAGTTGGGAATAAGTCCAAGCCTAATCCAAAAGGATTAGAGGTGGACCAAAACATGTAAAAGCCTTATCTCTATGTAACCTGAAAGTATAAAAGAGATGCTTGTTCGCTCTTCAAATAAAGCTTCAGACTTTAATGCCTTTAATATAGGAGTATTAAGAATTGATTTCTCGATAGGAGACTTCAATTGCTTGATTATACAGATTATAATAAAAATTAAAAACTCATTTGTTGTATAAGTTTGAGTATAGTATTTATTATTGTTACCTGTTAATATTCTTGACGAGTGTTAGATTATCTTATAATTACTCCTCCCCTGATATTATAAATTGATTACATCAATTGTATCATAATTAAATAACTTATCGATTACTAGTAAATATAATTAAGTGCCCTGATCTTTAAATAATTACGTAATCTCACATGTCCAAGTTATTGCTCTAACCATTTGTACTAGTTATTTAATACCTAAGTTCTCTACAAAGAATATATAAGTTAACTAAATTGTATTGATAGTTATAAAAGCTCTTATAAACAATAGTAACAGTAGAGATAGTAGTAATAAATGAATTTTTTAAAGTTATCTTATATAATTTGATTGGTTAGTTATCATAGGTATGAGTTTTGAGAATTAGCTAATTATATATTAACTTATAGTCACATGATAGAGGCATGCTTTTTGGTCAAAGGGCATGCCTCATGGGCATGCCTCTATACTTCGTACCTCCAACCCTACCCTATCAAAGATATCACATTTCTATTATCATATGTAAGTAGGAATAATCTAAACTCTGACAATACAAGCACAAATCATTCGTCACTCGAATGACGACACAAGCTTAATAGAGGTTAAAATAAATAGCTATAAAACAAGTAGGTAACAATATACCTATAAATAGGTAACAATTTATTCTCATAAGTAGGTAACAACTTAATGTAAGTAGATAGCATTATATATATAATGCTGCCTACTTATTATTAAGAGTTTAAATAAAAGTTATATATATATATATATTTTTTATTTTACTTAGGTGATCTTGTCTTTTATTTATTAAGAGAAAACATAAAAAATGTTATAACAAAACTATAAACTAAATTAATCTAGTTATAAAATTGCCTTTTTCTAATAATTTTAGACTCATTTAGCTACTTAATATATTCAGATATAATCTGCTACAATAATAAGTTTTTCTTCCAAAAGAATAGAATGCTAGAGTAGAATCATATTCTTTTTTTTTTTTTTTTTTTTTTTTTTTTTTTTTTTTTTTTTTTTTTATTGGTTTAACAAGGCCTCGATGCTAGTTAATT